TAGCCATAGCTGAAGTAGCAGTAGCAAAAGTAGCAGTAGCAGTAGCAGCAGCAGCACCAGTAGCAGCAGCAGTAGCAGTAGCAGTAGTAGTGGCAGTAGTAGTAGCAGTTCAGTACTGGTGCTGCTGCTCAGATAAGGAGGGCGCGGCTCGGCTAGGACGGCGCGGCTCGGCTAGGGCGGCGCGGCTCGGCTAGGGCGGCGCGGTTCGAGTCGGGTCGCGCAGCGCGGCTCGGCCGTAGAGGGGCGAGCGTGGGAGGGGCCGGTCGGGGGTCGGTCGGTGCTAGCGCGAGGCCATTCGGGGCCGTAGGAGGCTAGCGCGGGGCCTTAAGTGGCCGTGGGAGGCTAGCGCGGGGCCTGACGGGGCCGTGGGAGGCTAGCGCGGGGCCTGAAGGGGCCGTGGGAGGCTAGCGCGGGGCCTTACGGGGCCGTGGGAGGTTAGCGCGGGGGGCACACGGGGCCGTTCGAGGCTAGCGCGGGGCCACGCGGGGCCGTTCGAGGCTAGCGCGGGGTCAATCGGGGCCGTAGGAGGCTAGCGCGGGGCCGTAGGAGGCTAGCGCGGGGCCGTAGGTGGGCCGTTCGGGGCTAGCGCGGGGCCGTAGGGGGCCGTGAGAGGCTAGCGCGGGGCCGACGTGGGGCCTTAAGGGGCTAGCGCGGGGTCTTAAGACGGGGCCGTGAGAGGCCGTAAGGGGCGACGCGAGGGGCCGTGAGGGGCCTGAAGGGGCAACGCTAGGAACGAGGCGCACGAGGGCGCTAGGAAAAAGGCGGCGCACGAGGGCGCGGCTAGCGGAAACGGTGGGCCCTAACGTTCCGGTCCTAGGTGGAACCTAGGCCCGTAATACCATGTCAGAATGAGAAACAGGAATGGTTGTGACTAGCAGGAACAACAGTACAAATATGAAACCCTAATCTGGTGTACCCCCTAAGGTGTAACCCACTACAGCCTAGAACCACATAAACATATAATGTTTGACAAGTATCTACGCAGCCGAAATTTGAGGGATCTACACGCACTTTCGTAAGGAGGACCTCCTTAGGGGGGGGGGGGTAAGTGTAAGGAAAATTCATTTTCCTTACTTCGCATCCTTGCTCAACGCGTACATCACTGTAGCACCACAGTCAGCGCCGTTACCACTCGCAACCCTCGCATCGACAATTCGTCCGCAACCTTCGCACATCGCACCCCGACCTCACGGCTCGGCGGATAACCCGCGCTTGGGGCCCCCGCTTCGACATTTTTTTCCCAACCTCAGTCCCAGGCCCGTCGCACGACAACCACAGTCCATTACCGTTACCACTGTAGTTTTGCTATATATTCTTCGCTCATGCCTTCGCTCATTGTACTCTTGCTTCGATAGTGCAATTCTCGTTCGTTAACTCAATTGCACTCAAGTACTTTCTGAGTACTTTCTGCAAGAATTTTGCTTTCTGTGTAAGCTCTGTAAATTACTGCATCACCTCGACCTGCATGCATGTAGCTCGTGTACTGTATCGCACTGATCTGTATTTTTGCACATGGCATTCTCCTTCTTGCTGCAAAAGTGAGGTTGTTCCCTTCCTGCTTCTACACCTAGTCCGCGGTATTTTAACCACGTGAATTGTTTCGCTTCAAACACCCTTTGTTCGTTTTTGGGTAATAGGATGGGCACCCAGAGACTTCAAGGCTATTGTTTTGCAGCCAAAATCATTCCTTATAACGAAACTCACACTTAGTGCTCCGAAATAGAGGGCGGATCGGCATTGACCGGGTTTTGACTGCCATCGTCTCACAAAGGGTATGCTAGATTGTACCCTCATTAAATTTCAAGACTACTCTTATAGAAAAGTTTACCACGGAGAAGTACCCTCGCGCGGTTAAGATACCGCGGACTAGGTGTACTTTTGCTGCAGTTGCTGGTACTGTTGTGTGTGTGTGTGTGTACACCCTGTTTCTCACTACTATGAACTGTGCCGAACTGGTGGAAAACCTAGTTACCTTCGATTTGTCTGATTGAACCATACCGAGACTTCATCTAACCTCTGTTAACCGTGCTTTTCCCATCTTGACTTCACTAAAACCGGATTCACAATGGCGAGAAAGAGGGTGTAGTGGTGTCAGGACGGGTCATTTCCGTTCTGGTGTGCAATGATTAGTGGTGAACGTAATGTAACGTATTTAACCGTGTCATACGAACTCAGAACGGAAAGTATGACCCCACAGTGCACACTGTCACCACCAACGAAGTTTGCCTCGCTCGCCACTCGCCATCCAGATCAGAACTCCATCTCATCTTTCTCGTTCCGTCGTCGTAGGATCGAATCTCGCCTCAGTTCTGATCACCCTCCTCAGTTCGCCTCAACTTTAATTACGCACCTCGGACACTGTACAGTACGATACAGCTGATGCTCACCCCATGCGCGCGAATTTGCCTTGCGCCGGATGGACACGCTGCACCCGAGGTTGTTTCCCCAGCTTCATGCACCCACATTACAAGCGCGTCAAGCAGAAGAGACCGAAGTCAAGCAGAAGAGACTGAGGTCAAACTTGGTAACTAGGTAGCAGGGTCTTGTTTATAAGCACATGCGAATTCTTTTTAGCTAGCTGCGAAATTGACGAACTTATGCGAAACGCACGACACAGCTTATACGCCTCCTTCACAAGGCAACCGGGAGGGGCTCAATCAGGCATCAGTTTGTAGTAGGCTCTGAAAACTGAGCAAAAAGAATGAACCCTCCAACGTGGCAGCCAGATCGGCTTGTACAGTCCATAGAGGAAGCATATCTTTCTCGTTCTAGATAGGCACGTCGAAGAGAACCGACGTGCTCGCTTCCCAGACGAAAAATAACACGGGCTATGCGGTCATTCATCCTGGAAATCGTTTTTCGCCAGCTAGTCCAGTTGTAACTCATGATCGTCGCATAGAACTGTACGTAGGGATCAACCAGCACCTCACAAGTACAGTACTGTATCCAGGTTGTCGGTAAGATTATGCGGCTCGAGATGTTCCGACAGCATCTGGTGTGGTCTTGCCGTCATCTGTTTCGCAAACGATTGGCACTTGTAATGGGTGACCTCAAACGGAGCGCTGCTTCTACTGTAATGTCAGACACACGGACCTTGGAAAATGGATGGACGATGGTGTATGCTTGCTCGCGGTACCTCTCGCCGCCCGTGCGCGAACTCTCAGGTTCACCTCTTTGGCTTGGCACTCTGATTCACGTATACTGTACATGTATGATCCTGTCCGGGATGCAGCCCGAGAATTCCGGAAACAGTGTCAATCTGCCAGCTCGTCGAACAAAAAATCCATGGCCGTCGCTGCTGCTTTGCTGCCAAAGATTGTTCTTTCCGTCCGTGCCTTCCTGGCTCACCGCGTCACAGCGTCTCATTTGCCAAAACTCCCAGCTACTAAGGCACATCCCTCTGGTCAGACTCCCTGGCGAGAATTTCCACCATAGACTATGCTCCGACTCTAGTAAGAGTGTCCCTTCCGACTGAGACCAGATTTCTTCTCCCGCTCCGGTTTGTTTCGGACTAGAGTAGGAAGAGGTTAGTAAGGTCGCGGTTCTGGGCGAAGTTTGCCCTCCATCAGCTCAAAATGGCCCTCAATGACGTGTAAGAACACCCTATCATTGGTCATCACACAAGTTTCCAGATATTTTGGAGCATGGAAGCCAATCAGACGTGTACTTCCGTCTACACTTGTCCCTACTTCGGATGGCGGGCGAACTTCAGAACCGCGATCTAAGTCGCTGTGACCGGCTTTCAAGTACCATCGTTTCTGCTACCATCATACGAAAGGGATTCTTACGGAGCAATGCAGGCGGCTCATCCCCGCTAGTGCCACGCTCGCTACGGTAGCTCGCCGAGAGCTGTATCGTTGGCCCTTTGCAGTGGATAATCGGCGAGTCGCGAGCTACCCTCTTAGACTGACATTGTTGATCTCCTCAAGACGAGCCTCTCTTCACTGCTACCGGATCTCCTTCGTACTTACGGTGAACGACTGATATCATTAGAACGAGTTTGAGTAGTTGGAGGTATTGCTTCACGAGCCGCTGAGTATCTATCAAGGTACGGGACTGTTACCCGGTGTGCGTCGGACTAGACTGCTGCTGCTGCTGCCATGGCGGAAACGCTCTTCGTATTCTCCGAATCCGCGGCGGCTCCGACGCCAAGAGTGATGATTCCAGACCTTGTTCGCCGCGTCAGCAGCCGCGACGCGCCTCCTGCACCAGCACCGGAGGCGGCACCGGCGGCGGCGGCGGAGAGCAGTAGCGCCGGATTCGGGGTGGCATTGCGGAATGAGCGGAAGGGGACGCAGCGGCGCGACTCGAGGCAGCTCTCCATCCACGTGGAGAGCCCGCGGCGGTCTCCAGCAGCCGCCACGCTGGCAGCGGGATCTCCGCGGAGCCTGCAGATTCTTGACTCGGAAGCTTCCAAGAGCGTTCGTCTGCACCACCGCAGGACCCAAAGCGGCGTCATTTGTTCCTACAGTCACATCAGCAGCCACGTCAGCAGCAACTCGGATCTGGGCTCGCCTGTACGCGCTGCTCCTCGCGGCGGCAGCAAGAGCAGTCGGCAGTTCAGGATGCATCCAAGCCCTCCTGGTGGTGCTGACGTGGCACCTCCCATGGTGATGTATCCCCACACTGCTCCTGCCGCGGCTTGGGCTGCTGCTGCTGCTGCTGCAGGAGGGGGAAGCGGAAGCCCCGTTAAGGGGGGTGGCAGCCCTGCTGACAGTCACAGCTACTCTCGATACTGTCACATTTCTCGTGGCAGCCCTCAGTACAGTCACATCCTTCCAGAGAGCAATCAGATCCGTCAGTTTGGACAGGACAGCCCGCGATATGGAAGTGTCGCCGCTGCTAGGAGTGTCGTTGCGCCCCTGCCGCCGCCTTCACCTGCCAGCGCATCTTCGCCACGTGGCGTGTTGAGAAGGAGCCCACGTGGACCCGCTTCAGGCAGGATCAGCCCCGGTAGTAGCAGTTTCGTTACTAGCAGCTCGATCAGCCGGAGCAAGACCATGTACGCGTCAAAGTCGCCTCCAATATCCGTGGTGCCAAAATGCCAAGAGGAGGATTCAGATGAGGCGGCTTGGGGACCACGGTTCGGAGGTTCGGGAAGATCCGTCCGATCCCCGGCCTCCGAACCTGGCTGGTCCAGGCGATTCGCGTCAGTGGATCTGGACGAATGGGGCGCCGCCACGTATGCACCGCGGTCGTCTCACGAACTAACTGACCCGTTCGATGCGAGCTGTGCGTGCGATGCGAACGGCACCGCGTGGGACAATTACTGGGAGTGCGACAGCGTTGCGACGGACACTTCTTCTCACGGACAGGCCGCGGAAGATATAGCGATTTATCGCAGCAGCAGCACCGGGCATCGATACCCTGTTGTGATGTCCAGCAGCAAGATCGGCAGCAGCGGCCAGCGCTCTTGCCAGTGGGACGACCCCTGTAGCCCTGCTGCTGCTGCTGCTGCTGCTGCTGCTGCTGCTTCAGCGCTGCATGCCCCTCATTCTGCCTCTTGTACCGCTCGCCACGGCTCGGGTCCTGCTCTGCAGGGCTCTGCTGCTGCTTCTCCGCACGTCCCGCATGCTGCCCTTTCGAGGGACGACCGGCCCGGCGCGTCTCTCCCGCCCCCTGCGCGCCAAGGCAGCGGCTCAGCCCAGAAGCAGCAGCTAGTACCGACCCACAAGAGATCTCACTCCGCTGCACCGCACTCCGCTGCACCGCACTCTGCTCAACCGCATTCCCACCCCAGTCACCCCGGTCACGGCAGTCTCACCAGGTACCTGCCTCATCTCGAGATCCCAGGGCAAACGGGTCAAGTGGGTCAAACCGTTTCGTTATCCGCGAACGGGCACCGAAAAACCCACTCGCATTCTGCTGCATTGCATGGCAACACCACACACCCGGGTCAACTGGGTCAGCTGAGTCACACCACTCACCCGGGTCGCCTGACGCCTCTTGATCTGCCAGGTCTAACGAGTCAAGCGAGTCAAACGGGTCAAACGGCTTTCTCCCCTTCCAGCGCCTCGCCTTCTCACGGCCGCAGGCACTGCAACCTTGCGCTGAAGCACACGGAGGAGGAGGAGGAGGCGAAGCAGCACAAGGGGCAGCAGCAGTTGGTGGGGGAATGCAGCGTGGACGTGGGCGTGGACGGTGGTGGTGGTGTCGATGGTGAGTCGAGCGACTCAGATGACGATTTCATCGGGCTCTACGCTGCTGTTGTGCGCAGCCGTGCTGGCGCTGGCAGCACGAAGGCGCGCGCTGGGGGCATGAATATCGGTGCGGGCACTGGCAGCCTGAAGGCGTATGTTAAGGTGGTGGAGCAGGGGGCAGGGGAGGTGGAGCAGGGGGCAGGGGAGGTGGACCAGGGGGCAGGGGTGGTGGAGCAGGGGGCTCGGGCGGTGGAGCAGGGAGCAGGGGGCATGGATCAGCGGGCGGGCACTGGCAGCCTGAAGGTGAATTCTAAGGTGGTTGCGCAGCGGGCCGGGTTGGTGGAGCAATGTTGTGGGAGCATGAGCATGAACATGAACATGAACATGAGCATACGTGCTGGCACTGACAGCATGAAGGCGCGTGCGGCCAATTCACAGACTGTGGGAGACAGCCATGCTGCGAGTAGGAGCAGCAGTGGAAGCATTGCTGTAGGAGTGGGCAGCAGCGGCGCCGCCGGCAGCACAGCAGGCGAAAATCACAGCTCAATGCACCCGGCCAGCACAGCACAGAGGGGTGTGCTGGTCAGCAGAGTACAGAGAACGGCGTCTCGAGACGGGCCCATTCTGCCTGCTGCTGCTGCTGCTGCTGCTTCAGCGATTGGTGTGATGGCCAGTGCTGCCGCAGAGAGGGAAGGGACGGAGGGAACGGAGTGGAGTGACGAGCGGATGGAGCGGAGGGCGAGGAGGGAAGCGAGGAGAGCGAGAAAGGCCATGGCGGCGCAAGCGGAGCTATCCCAGAAGGAGATTTCGGAGTCGAACCAGAACTCGGTTCCCCCGCAGGAGGAGTGTCGGGCAGAGCGGAATTCCCGGCGCAGCTTGACTATCCGAAGCAGCCTCTCTTTGGGCAGCAGTATCCGAACCAGCATCAGCGGCAGCCTCGGAGGACGGTGGGCGCGGCGGCTTAGGCGGAGTATTAGCAGTGGGAATGGCAGTAGTAGCGGGAATGGCAGCGGGAAGAGGGGAGGTGGGGAGGGCGAGATGGGTGATGCTGAGGGGGAGGAAGGGGATGAAGGGGAGGAAGGTGAAGAAGAGGGGAGTGAACAGTGGAGTGAACAGGGGAGTGGTAACGGGAGTGGTAAGGGGAGTGGAAAAGGGAGGGAGAGTAGGGCGCGGAGGAGGAGCAGCAGTTTCAGCCTGAGCAGCATCGCGAGCAGCATCAGCAGCGGGCTCCCCTGGTATTCCACCGATAGCGACGGCGCCATAACACCTGTCAGCGGCTCCAGCAGCGTCACCAGCGGTGCAAACACAGACAACCGTGCGTTGCCATCTAAGTCTCGGCATGAGTCTCGGCCGCCTCAGCACAGAAGGTCCCAGAGCTTAGGGGCGGTGTGGCAGCAACCTAAGCAACCTCAGCATCCTCATCAGCCACAGCAGTCGCGCAACCCGTGGGAAGCAGAAGGGCTAGCGTATGGTTCCCAAGGGCCCTCTCAGCTAAACCCTGGCGAGAAACCCGGGGGTCAGTCAAGGGAGTTGAAGGGGTCAAACGGGTCAAACGGGTCAACGGGGTCAACAGGGTCAAAGGATGGCCCAAGGACTGGTGGCAGCAAGGCCAGTAGGCAGGGTAATGGGGTTCATGCGGCTGAGGTTGCAGAAAAAGCGGCACATTTTTCCCATGATCATCGGCGCCTGGGTATGCGTCAGGCCAAACATGAGCAAGAGCATGGTGCCAGGTATGCTCGTGGGGACGAGGCCTCCCACAGGCGTGAGAATGGTCATGGGCAGAAGCATGGGCTTGGGGGAGAGAACCAGCATGCTGGCAGATGGGCGCTGAAACAGCCGCGCAGATTCTTGAGGCATCTGGGAAAGAAGGTGACGTTCAAGGGAGAAGTTGAGCACATATCGTAATCATACAATGTGTGTTCTGACCCAGGTTTTCTGGAGCAGATTTAAAGCTCGGGGTTGATTCTATGGCTTGCTTTCCTGGGTTTTCTTGTGAAACATGACATGTTTTACTGCTGTGGAAGTGTGTTCGTGTTTATTAGGAGTAATGGAAAATAGAAGAATCTGGGGATGTGTGCCTGTGTGGAAAATTCATTTTTCCTTACTCGGCGTCCCTGCTCAGCGCGTACACCACTGTAACACCACAGTCGGCACCGTTACCGCTCGCAACCTTAACATCGACAATCCTCCCGCCACCTTCACACATCGTACCCCGACCTCACGGCTCGGCGGGGAACCCGTGCTCCGGGCCTCCGCTTCGACATTCCCCCAAACCTCAGTCCCAGGCCCGTCGCGCAACAGCCATAGTCCATTACCATGACCATTGTAGTTTCGCTATATATTATTCGCTCATTGTACTCTTGCTTCGATAGTGCAATTCTCGCTCGCTAACTCAATTGCACTCGTAACACTTGGTATTCAAATCCTACGATCTCTTCTCGGACCGCACCCACACCTTCACTTCCCCACTATCTCAATTTTTGGGGGGGGTAGACGTCTCTCAGCGACACAGCACCGCCGCTCGTAGTGCTCTCTCGTAAGCACGCACGGCCACGACAGAGGCTCTCGTTGAGCTTGCCCGACACCCCCGCCATGGCCGAATTTACTACCGCGACACCGACGCAGGAGCAACTCGACTGTCTTGTGCGCCAAGAAGGTGGGTACAAGTAGGAAAACCTAGAAATGTTGTACCCCATATTGTCTACCCCACTACAGCCTACACAGACTAAAGCATATAAGTTTCACACACCCCCATAGGCAAAGTGGGGGAGAACAAGAGGTCACAAGACCAGTCAAGCAAAGCAAAACAAGCTCAGGATGGATCACAGCGTCACCACACATTCCAAGCACAAGAGCAAGGTCACAAGGCCAGTTCACATGCAAGATCATATATAAAGGTAAACAAGCAAGTGCAGGTATAGAAAGATCACAGTACAAGCAAGGTCAAGAAGTGAGCAAGTGAGGCCAAGTAGGCACAAGACCTAGCATCGTACAGAAGCGCTGATGATCACAAGGCGGAAGTGCCTTGGTAAAGATATCAGCAGTGTTGGCCTCAGAGGCCACGTAAGCAAGGCGCAGCTGACCACGCTGCTGCAGCTCACGAGCAAGGAAGTAGCGAAGAGCAATGTGCTTCGTTCTGTGCTCCAGTCTATGCTCCCGACACAAGGCCAGCATGGCCTTGTTGTCTACGTACAGAACTGGAGGAGAACGAGGCGGCTCTCCTAGGTCAGTCAGCAGGTAGGTGAGCCATCGTAGCTCCTGTGCAGCCATGGCCCCCGCGTAGATCTCAGCCTCACAGCTGGAGCCGAGAACCGAAGACGAGCGGGTAGACCGCCACGAAACAGAGTCGGAACCAAGGCTGAAGGTGTAACCCTGTGACGACCGCTGCGTAGCCTGGTCGTCAGCCCAAGAAGCGTCAGCGTGACCTGTGAGGACCACTCGACGTCGCCCTCCAAGCACTAGCCCCATGGGCGACGTACTGCACAAGTAGCGCAACACCCTCTTCGCTGCAGCCATGTGCTCTGGTCGGTGTCTCCCAGGAGCAACATAGCGTGCCAAGATGCTAAGAGGGTATGGGAGGTCAGGTCGAGTGCAGGTCATCAGGTACATGAGGCAGCCAACAAGCTCTGGGTACGGGCCACTCGGCTATACGGACTCATCCGAAGGCAGAGCTGAGAGCGAGTGCCAAGTAGGCAGAGGAGTGGCCTGAGGCGAGGAGTACGTGAAGCCGAAGCGCTGAAGGACCTGCTGCACCATGTGTGACTGAGTCAGGGTAATGGTGCGGCGTGCTTTGTCCCGAGTGATCTGCAAGCCAAGGTAGCTGCGTAGTTCACCTAGGTCTGTGCACGTGTGTCTCTTATGCAGCTCGGACTTCACGTGGGCGAGTCCAGCAGTGTCAGCAGTGGCAAAGACCAAGTCGTCGACGTACACGAGGATGTAGAACGGCGGCAGAGAGGTGTCGGTGCGCAGAAACAGCGACGGGTCGGCAGTAGAAGGAGCAAAGCCAAGAGCCGCAAATGTAGTCCTCAGTGTGTCGTGCCACTCACGGGGCGCCTGGCGCAGACCGTAGACTGGCCGCCGGAGGCTCCACTGGTTACCAGGAGGAAACGACCCAGTGAAGCCAGATGGGCGGCGCAGCCAGATCTCCTCGTGCAGGCTGCCCTGCAGGAAAGCTGTGCTGAAGTCAAGAGAGTGAAGCTCGTAGTTGCGCTGAGCGGCTATGTGCAGCAGCACCCAAAGAGTGGTCATCTTCGGGGTGGGAGAGAAGGTCTGAAAGTAGTCAACTCCCTGCCGCTGACTGAAGCCTCGAGCCACATAACGCGCCTTGAAGACAGGCGGAGAACCCGGCGGCCACTTCACCCTGAAAATCCACATGCCACTGACGATGTTTGCCCCAGGTGGGGGAACCTCGTCGACGTAGGTGCCTATGGACTTCCAGCAAGCCATCTCTGCGTCCATGGGTCACTGCCACTGAGAGGAGGACAGACAGACTCAGACTCAGCAACAAGACTAGCAGCGTAGTCTAGACGACAATGAGCAGCAAAGTCGACAAGCTCAGCAACCAAGACAGTCGCAGCAGTGGACTCAAAAGAAGGGTTAGTGACAACAGTAGCCAGGAGACGCGTGACAGTAGGAGTGGCAGCACGAAGAGAGTCAGACTCCGGGTCAGCAAGGTAAGGAGACGGCAACGGGACACGCAGAGGAGCAGTGGAAGGACGCAGTGCCATCTGGTGTGTGCCTAGGACCGCAGGAGGACGCGGACGCGGAGCACGACTACTAGCGCGAGCAGCACGAACAGGCGACGCAGGACAAGACGCAGGCTCACGACGCTCAGCAAGACCTCCAGTAGGACAAGTGTAGGGAGAAGGAGCAGGCAGGGGGGAGGCGGGCTGTAACTGTGACTGCGATTGGACAGGCTGTGGACACTCTAAGGGAGGAGCAGGACCAGTAGAAGGCGGGAGACCAAGAACCTACTCAAGGAGCGGAAGGAAGTACGGCCGCGGCCGCGCAGCGCCTCCAGAACCAGCAGAGACAGCACCAGTACCCCCAGCGGCAGCACCAGCGCCAGCAGCGCCAACTCCAGCACCCTCAGACGCACCAGCGCTAGCAAAAACACCAGCGCCAACACCCCCAGTAGCTCCAGCTCCAGCAGCACCCACTCTAGCAGGACGAACTCCGGCAGCTCCAGTACCGCCAGCAGCTCCAGCAGTACCTCCAGCAGGACCAACTCCAGGAGCCCCAACAGCACCCCTAGTCCCAGCAGCTCTAGTACAGCCAGTATGAGCACCTCCGGGACCAGCAGCAACAGTAGTACCTCCAGCTCCAGCAGCAAGGCTCCAGCGCCGGGCAAACCACTCGCGCAGCTCCTGCGGAGAGAGTAGCTCCCGTCTTGAAGAAGCACCGCGAGAGACCACACGAGCAGACCCAGCATCCCCAGGATCAGCACCCCCAGACTCAGCACCCCCAAGCTCCGCACCCCCAGCCTCAGCACCT